AAAATTGAGGGCCCTTCCAAAATGGAGGCCCTAGGCGAGCGCCTACTCCGGCTACCCTCAGGGCTGGCTCTGCATAAAATATACTCTCAACTTTAAAATATATCCACCTATTGGTAGAAGGCAAGAGCAAAGGCCCAAAAATTTCCCTTCAACCCAAAAAACCACCTCCACAGGTCCAAATTGACAAGGGCAAGTGGTGGACCAAACACTATCCCTCTAAAAGTCCAAGCAAGATGAGCCATACCTTGTATTAATTTTTTTTTTTTTGTCATGCGCCTGTAATACACGCGCGAAAAGGGGTGAATGGCCGACAGAAACTGCAGCAATAGATCATGTTGCAGTAGTCCAATGGCTAGCTGACGTGGCTTTATGAGGGCCATTGAATTCCTAACAGTAAAAAAAAATGGAAATGTTACGTTGGGATATGTTCTGGTGCATCCAGTCCACATCAATTTGAAAATCCATGACCATGATTAATCCAACAGCAAAAAAATTTAAAAAATTAGGAATTTTTATATATATTGTTATTTGTTGTAAGCCTATTTGACTAAACTGTATAAATGACAGAGAGAGAGGGGTCGGCGGAAACAAAGAAAGAAGAGAGATATGTTATTCTGAGGTGTGTGTTGTATCACCCCCTTATGCCTTTATTTATAGTAGTATGATAGGTAGAATCCTTACCATAATAGGATTACATCTCTAATAGGAATTAAACTACTAAAGGGAATATACAAGATACTCCTAGATACACTAGAATTTGCACAATCATATTCCTAATCCAATAGGACTGCAACACTCCCCCTTGAGTGCGTAAATACTTAAACAAAACGTCGCATCAGATCTTCAGCAAATAAGGTAGAACAGTTGATGAAGTCGTTGGCATAACAGGTGAATGCAAGTCTTAAATATAAGAAAGTAAGTATGCATTGGTAGTAAAACTCACAAAACCTCGTTATGGTAAAACCCAAGGCATGGGGAAAACCCATAAACTAAGGAGAAAAGTGAAAAGTATGCATAATGTCTAAAACAAACGTCTAACATAACGAAAGTAGCGAACTCAACGAAGTATGATCATCCCGGGATGAGTGCCTCATCAAAACCTCGTTAGGTAGCAAAAACCCAGTGTGAAAAATGCTCCTAATAGTAGGAAAAAGAGTACATTAAGATCAAATGAGTATGCTTTAGGATACTTCTCCTGAATTAGACATAACTTCTAAATAAAAGAACTATAAGCAATTCAACTCAGATAATTTACGCATACTGATTCCTTGCACGAGCTTTTGAAAAGTAAACTTGGGCAATGACTTGGTGAAGAGATCGGCCAGGTTATCTTGGGAACAGATTTGCTTGACTTCAATGTTCTGATGTTGTTGTTGCTGGTGAGAATAAAAGAACTTCGGCGCTATGTGCTTGGTGTTGTCTCTCTTGATGTATACCGTCTTTAACTGCTCGATACATGTTGCATTGTCTTTAAAGATCGTCGTAGAAAGGTCAACGACGGAAGTAAAACCACTAGTGCTTGAATATGTTCTATGACTGCTCTCAACCAAAAGCACTCACGCAATGCTTCATGCAAGGCGAGAATCTCAGCATGGTTCGAAGAAGTCACAACTAGCGTTTACTTGGTAGACCTCCAAGATATAGTGGTGTCTCTAACGGTAAAGATATAACCCATTTGAGAACGTGCCTTATGTGGGTCAGACAGATAACTAGCATCTGCATAACTGACAATACGGGTGACACGTCCCGACCCTGATATTCCCTGAATACCCTGATAGGCACGTGTTGGCCGACACCTGAGGGTGACGAAAGCCATTTATTGAATACAAGAGTAATGATCCAGTCAAAATACTGTTGATTATGTCTGCAGAGTCTGTTTTCATAAACAAACTTGTGTCTGAAACTGATGCAGTGAATCCCATTACTAGGAGATAACTTGTAAACTTTGAATTCCAGGCTCTAGGTGCCTGTTTTAAACCATATAGGGATTTCAACAACTTACAAACATGAGTTGGATGACTGGGATCCACAAAACCTTGTGGTTGTTTCATGTACACCTCCTCCTGCAACTCCCCATGCAAAAAAGCATTCTTTATGTCAAGTTGTTTCAACTCCCACCTATTCATGGCAGCTAATGCAATAATGATCCTTACAGTTGTATGCCTCACAACGAGACTGAAAGTATCAGAATAGTCAATTCCATGCTCTTGTGAAAAACCTTGAGCTACAAGTCTTGCCTTGTATCTTGAAATACTACCATCAGGGTTCTTTTTCACCTTATACACCCATTTACTGCCAATTATAGATCTATTTTTAGGATTAGGTACTAGTTTCCACGTACCTTGAGCTTGAAGAGAATCATACTCTTCTTGCATTGCATTTTGCCACTGAGTCATAGAAGCTGCTTTTCTGAAACATGAAGGTTCAACTGAATCTGTAATCTCAAACAGAAAAGAAAACCCTCCAACAAATGGATCTTCATTTGTGACTTGTAAACTTTGAAGTTAAGGACAGAAAGATAGCAATGCTGCATAATTCTTGCGTTCAATAGCTCCAGTTCTCAACCTTGTTTGAACTACGTTTTCTGGTATTGCAGCAAGTAAATGCTCAGAAGATGAACTAGTTAATGGTGAGATAGGCAGAATTACCTCAAAATGAGAATTGTGATGGACAGGCAACATAGGAGAAATACTAGTTGATATACTAGAGTGATGGTGATGGGAACTAGCATGCTGATCAAGACTGTGAGAGCCATCTTTGTGTGAAGATGATGGTAAATTTGCACCACTGAATTCAAGTGATTCACTTGCTTGAACTGATGTATTATCATTCCCATTTTGTACTTCCATAACCTGTCCTGTATAACCATTACCATTGGGAAATGGCATATGTATCACAATTGGAACTGAAGAATTGTGTGGATTATTCTGTGTTGATTCCACAGAATTCTGCATTTCTGTGACTAATTTTACTTTGTATGGGAAAACCTCCTCATCATGAATAACATGTCTTGATATGATTATTTTACTAGTACTAATATTGTAACAAGCTATTCCCTTATATCCCATCATATAACAAAGAAATACACACTGAATTGATCTTTTATGCAGCTTGTTCTCATTGTATGGTCTCAAAAATGGATAAACTGCAGTACCAAACACTTTTAGATGTTGAATCTCAGGTTCTATTCCAAAAATTACCTGATATGGTGACTTCATACTTAGATTTCTAGTTGGCATCCTATTAATAAGAAATGCAGCATGTGTGCAAGCATGATACCAGAATTGGGTTGGTAAATTTGCTTCAGTCAACAAAGTCACATCAGTTTCAATCACATGTCTATGTTTCCTCTCTGCAAGGCCATTTTGTTGAGGAGTATATGGACAAGATATCATATGATTAATCCCTTTATTCTCCAGAAAATTAATAAATGTCTTACTCAAAAACTCTCCCTTTCCATCAAATTGTAAACACTTGATTGTAGCATTGAATTGGTTCAAAATAAAGGCATTAAACTTCACAAATATCTCAAAAGCTTGTGATTTATTATTCATGGGAAATATCCAAAGGAACCTAGAAAATTCATCCACAAAACTAATATAGTATCTATATCTTTGTACAGACACCTTTGGAGAGGGCTCCCATACATCAGTATGAATCTTCTCAAAAAGAAAAGTAGCTCTAGACTATTTTACATGAAAAGGTTGCCTAGTCATTTTACCACTAATACATGAAGAACATAAGGATTGTGAACAATAGGCATTAACTATCACCTTTGACTTCTTTAGCATTGCAGCAAAAACCTCCTCAGATGGATGTCCTAACCTTTGATGCCATACTGAAACGTGAACTTTCTTCCCCAGAAAAGCTAAACATTTTCCCAACTTTGCAGCAAACGATCTGGCAAACACATTTACTGTTATCGTAAACAAATCCCCACCATCACTCTTTCCTTGGTAAAGTATTTTCCTTGTTGCCTTGTCCTGTATAAAAAACACAATATCATCACATAAAAACCAGCAACCATTATCCTTACCCTTTTTAACAGATAACAAATTGACAGCAATTGTAGGTACACAAAGCACATTTCTCAATACTATATCATTATGAGGCACATATATCGAAGTTGAACCAATATGAGTAACTGATAAACCTATACCATTCCCAATAGTAATCTTCTCATCACCAGTGTATGGAGTGACATTATTGAGATGATTTAGATTAGTAGTCATATGATGAGTAGCTCCTGTGTCAATGATCCAATGATCTTCAGTAGAAAAACCATGTCCATTTTCATTTGGAAATACTGAACCCGTAGCCAAATTTGACTCAATGTTTGCTTGAGCAGTCATAGCAAGAGAAGAAGGTGGTGGATTACCTTGGTAAGCATAGTTGTTCCTATGATAGCATTCAAGAGCAATATGCCCCCTTTTTCCACAAATTTGACATATCACAGGACCGGAACTCTGAACATTCCCATTATCAGATCTGTAATAACATTTTGGTGTAGTATGTCCTCTTCTTGAGCAAATCTGACACTCTGGTGACACAGAAGACTTAAAATTGGTGTTTCCAGCCCAATTTGACTTAGAGTAGCCATTTGAACTCCCATTGCTAGAAAAAGAACCTCCATTTCCATAACTATTGCCAGAATATCCATTTCTCCCACTCTGGGGAGCTTTTCCATTTCCAGAATAGTTGTTGTTTCCATTCCCAAGGTGATTGTTATTACCCCCATTTCCATTCCTGTTATGAAACCTGGAAGATGAATTCTTAAAGTTGTTATTTCCATTCCCAAACTTCTTGAAATTGTTGTTGCTGCCACTTCTAGTATTGTAATTGGTGTTGCCATTCCTGTTATTTCTATTGCCCAGAAAATCAGATCCACCTTGAAAGTTATCTCCAAATTGCTCTCCATTATAGCCTCTTTGCATCCCTTGTGTATTTGAGCTTTCACCATGTTCATAGCCCTGATATCGTTGAGAGCTAGATCTTGCCCCTTAAACACACATTGCAGCCATAGAACTTGTCAAAGATTGCATCTTGGACTCAATACTCCCTTCTGCAAAAAGAAGTTGAGCCCTGAAATCTTTTAAAGACAGAGTTGTATCCCTTGCTAAGATCAATGTCCGAATCATTTCAAATTCTGCACGTAAACCAGATAACACAGCAATCATCAAATCATTAACTGAAAGTCTTTCTCCAACAGAAACAAGTTGATCCCTTATATTCTTCAGCCTCATTAAGAATTTATCCACAGATTCCCCTCCTTTTTGTGTTGTATGTAATTCAGTCTTTAACTGATTAACTCGAACAACTGAAATCGATGCAAATCTTTCTTGTAAACATGTACAGGCTTCATGAGATGTTCTGCACCCAATGACATGCTCCATAGCCTCATCGGATAGAGTAGCGATAAGAAGACTCAGCAATGCCATATCTTTTCTCACCCATTCTTTATACTCTGTAGTGACTTCCTTTGTTACACCGGTGTCTGAATTAATCACAAACTTAGATGGACAAGGATTTTCTCCAAGAAAGAAATCAAACAAATCATATCCCCTCAAAACTAACTGAAATTGATAGCTCCACTTAACAAAGTTATCATCTTGAAGTTTGACAGTCAACATTCCCAAAAATGTTTCAATTTTGACACTTGAATCAGCCATTATATCAACTTTAGCAACAAATGGAATCTTCGTAAAAACTCTTTAACAACTTCTGGCTATCGGCCTTTCTGAAGCAATAAGATCTCAACTTTAGGATGTAAAACACACTTCTGGCTATCGGCCTTTCTGAAGTGATAAAATCTCGACTTTCGTACGTAAATCACAGCAAAAAAAAATGACAGAAACTTCTGGCTATCGGCCTTTCTAAAGTGAAACATAAAAGGGAAATGGCTATCGGCCTCTCTATCCTAACAAACACCTTATTGATCTACCCATTCCATGATGGCAACACTAATGGCTATGGGCCTCTAACAATTATGCAATTTGAAGCAAAAAATGTGACTGCGACATTTCATCAAACATATAGAGTGCAAGATATCATAAAGAACCAAGAACCTGAAAATACTGCGTTCTTGAACTGTACCCTAACCAGAGACGATATAATCGAAGAGCTTCACCTCTCTTTCGATAACAAATCAGCGGAAGAAGGTCACTAAGAATCGACTCAGCTCTGATACCATGTTAACAAAGTATCAAAGAATGCAGAAAATCTACTAAGAACAGTATGAGTGTTTAGAAAGAGAAAGAACAGAAGCAAATGATTGTATTAATTCTAAATGAATCTTTAACACTGTGAGAATACAGTTTATATAGCCATCTTGACTATCTTGCATAGTAAGCTATTTTAACTAACTAATCAGATAACGACTCAGCCACAATCCCAACAGTTTAACTAACTATTGATTGATGAGCTGGCCATAGGTGAGTCATAGATGTATGGTCAACAACAGTCCACCCCCTTAGGGGCCCGACGTCCTTGTCGGCACATCACGGCCAGGGTTAGGCTCTGATACCAATCTGACACACCTCGATCTTAAAATCAAGGCGTGACGGCCAGCACGCCTTGATTCTAGGACCGGGGTGTGTCATTTTACCCGTTATATTTAATTTTGGGACATCAGTTTTTTTTTTTTTACCGTTAGATTTGATTATTTTGATCTCAACCGTTGAATTTTATGAATTTATAAATTAAAATTTAAAAAAGTTTGAATTTAAACCGTTGGTTGATTCAACGGTTCATTCAACAAGGTTCTCAAATGAATTTAAACCATTGGTGTCTACTTTCTTGGTTTGGAGTTTAGCTTCCACCGAGAATGTGATGGCGGCGGCGGTGTAATCTTTGCTGCTGGAGATTAGGGTTTTTTATTGTTTGTTTTTTGCAATCTTCGGGTCTAAACTTGTATGAGCCTCCCGTTGTATCTTAAGTCGTTGTTCTCATTTTGTTTGAACCTTTTACTTTATTTGTAGTTGATTACCCGGTTCTTTTTTGGCCTTATACTAATTTTTAATGTAATGAAAGACATCTTACTTAATAAAAAAATTAAAAATTTAAAAACAGTGCAGGAAAATTTTCGGTCCTGTCATTGATTATTCGAGTCAAGAGTCAATCTAGCCGTTTTGTTTGTAAGACTGGTTTTATGGGGCCCATCACCCATGGATTGGCAACTTGGAGGCCAAGCAAATATTAGACAACAGAGACAGAAGTTGGGTTGGGCCATATTAGACTTGTAAAAATGAAAATGGCCCTGCAACCACTCGATTTGATTCAACCATCCAAACTTTATATTGGCCCTTGAAACCTTCATGCTTCTAATGTTAGAACAGCTCGCGTGATAGCTAACTTGGTTTTGAATTCCAATTTTAGCTTAAGCTTGGTTTTCAAATGAACTCGGTTGTTGGGCCTCCCTTTTTATGTCCTAACCAAGGTCTAAAATATCGACATTATCTCGATATTTCTATCAAAATTTTCATGTTTTTGGACTACCGATATTTTCGATATCATCGATATTTTAGACCTTGATAGGAACTCTATGTGGTACTAAGTCACTCATGTATCTTACCATGCAATGTATAATATATAAATGATTATGGTGTGTTTAAATTTCTTTCATTAATTACTACATATTTTCTACACTCACAATGTTTGCCAGCTCGCTATATAATCAACTTAAATCAGTTAAATCCATCATGCAATGCTTTTCCTTCCAATTTTTTGTGATAAACTAATAGATAATTAACTAAATAAACATCTTGCAAAGTTTCAATAAAAATTTCCATGTTTTTCTTACAATTTCTGTGGTTTTTATTCAATTTTTATCGATATCGATAATGTGACAGCTTGTTCCGGAAAATAATTTCCGTTGACGTGAAATTACTAGTTTACCCTAGGACGTTAAGTTGTGTGGTGTATGACTTGTATTTAAGTTGGATTTAATTATGATTTCCTAAGTTTTTGGAACCACTTAGGAATTAAGAAAGACTAAATTTTGATTGGTTGGAGAGATTTGGTCCACACACTACACCTCACTTTCTCTCTTTCACTCTCGTGCCCTCTCTCTCTCAAACTCACACTCTCCCTCTCTTCTTCTCTTCCTCTCTTGTACATACACAACCAGAAACCCTTGTAAACGTGATAGATTGAAGAAGAAAAATGGTACCATTGTGTTCCTAAGGTCCTCACGAGTTCAAAGGTACCAATTACAGGTAAGATTACCTTTGATTTCACGTCGAACCACAAAACCCGATTTGGGTTACTATTCATGCACACGTAAAATGTTGATTTTTAGGGAATTTAAAGGACATAGAGAGCTTAAGGAGGTCCTTACGAAGCTTGGAGTACTTCGTTTGAAGAAATTGGACGTCGGAATCGTGAGAACAACGAGTTTTAAGGTTTGCCGGATTATCGAAGCTTTTTCCGGTGGGATTCCGGTGGTTTCAAAGCTGGAATCAAGTATGGTTTTGTTCGTCGTTGTCAGATCTTTAAAATGGTTCAAGTTTCATAAATTTTGGGTTAAAAATGAAGAAGATATAAAGAAATGAAATTTTTCCAGTTTCCGGCGACAGCGACGGTTGCCTGAGCTGAAGGTAGAAGACGAGAGGATATTCCGTTAAGTTTAACGGAATATTCTAACGGCGTTAGGTCATGCCGTTAGGTTTTGTTAAGGAATAAATGGAATATTCCAGAATATACCTTACGGCGTCAGTTGACATCGTCAGTGTGCTTGGCAAATGGCCATGCGTGGGGGGCGCGTCTGGCCGTGCCTTGGCCGGTGCGTGGCGGCGCGTGGGAGCTAGGAAAAATATTCTAAAAATTTAGGGATGATCCTGAGGTTGTGTAGGTCACTATGGTATATTCATATACCCAAATTGAGCAATATATGAGAAGTTATTACCTATTGTTGGTTATGTGCGTTAAATAACATTTATTCGGTTATTACGCCTATATGTGAGACCTATTCTCAGGACGTGTGTAATCAATCGAGGCTCGGGGGCTACGACCCATCGACATATCTGTGAGTGGGCAATTATTTTCAGTATATATATATATATATATATATATATATATATATATATATATATATATATATATATATATATATATATATATATCTTCACATTTTTCCCAGAAAACGTATTTAAAGGAAATGTGATTTAAATGTCATGCTATGCCAATGCCTATATTTTATTTTAGTATATGCATTATCATAATTATGCATATTGTTGCATGGTGCTGTGGAGGCCCAAGTAAGCTCAGGTGAGTTATGTTTTGATTATGGGAATTGTCAATGATGTGATATGTGATTGAATAATGTTGAGCTCATAAAAATGCACTTAGGGTGATTGTAATTTAGCCAGAGATATGAAGTACATGCCTATTTATTATGTCACCTCCCGCACCATATGCTCACATTGGATTCAATTTAGGTGCACAGTCTTATCGTATAAACCTTATTTATGGTTCCGACTCGTAGGTGACTACCGATTTATCGCGCCAGCTATTATGTGAAAGGAGTATTGAGCATAATTATATTACATCCATTATCGTCGTACAAACCCTTGCATTTGATTCTGACTATTGTGCAGTATGTTGCCGTATAGGTCATTGTAGGGACTCCGGCTAAAATGACTTTTGAGCTAAGAAATTTAGCCGTATAGACTACCTCAGGGGTTCCCGCTAACATGTTATATTTCTATGAAAATATTCTTACCTGATTTGCTTACTCTATTATATCGTGGCTTGACACACATATGTTTATGATTATGTGAAGCATGATTGAAATGATATAATTACACATATATATTTATATATATTCTTATATATTAATTCTGGGAAAAATTATACTTGTTTTACGGCAAGGTGTTAGTATATTCAAAGGAAAATAAGGTTTTCATGTAAATGTGTTTTACTGACCCACTCAACTTTGTTTTTTGCCCCTCTAGGTTTTAGTTAGCAGAGTTTGGTGGTCACGAGGAATTCAACGGTATTCTGACAGATCCCGAAAAAATAGGATTCACCCTTTGGTGTTGTATCTTAGTAATTGTCCTACTTGACTGCAACTAGACTTTCTTATTGCTCTGAAAGTGTATTTATACATTTAAACTCTCACTAGTATCCTTTCTTAGTTGGGATTGTTAGTCGCTTGGTTTTAAATTGTTAGTATTTCTCTTACTCTTTATCGCTTCCGCTTTGCGCTCATGGCTACGTCACTCTCACGTGACGGCCAACACATCTCGACTCCGGTCGGGGTGTGTCAGATAATATTCCGATATTTCCATCAAAATTTCTGTGTTTTTGGACTATCGATATTTCCGATATCATCGATATTTTAGACCTTGTTCCTAACTCAGATATTTACTATTGTACTTTTTTTTTCATTCGGAAAACCAAACCGGCCGATCCTAATCATGGGGGCCGGTTTGATATGATTAAGGTTTTTAACTTTTGTAAACCGACATAAATTGAACCGGATTGATCACTTACATATTGGTATTTGAATGATTTTATTTTACACGAGTTGGTCTTTTTATTAGCTAATAAGTAATAACTAGATAAGGATGTTGAATTTGAAGGTTGATAGAGCATTAAAGATCTTTGACTTGTAACTATCTTAGTTACTAAACTTTCAAGTTTGATGGGATAGTATGTTGAATTTTTTAGG